GTGTAGTGCAAAATATGCTGTGCAATCGATGTGGCGCACTATAAGCGGTGCAATATATGTGGTCCACTCTACGTGGTGCGCAACATACGGGGTGTGCCATCTATGTGGTGCAATCGACGTGGTGCAATCCGTGTGGTTCAATACATGTGGTGCAATCTATGTGGTGCAATCTGCGTTGTGCAATCTAGGCGACGACGGGGCGGCGACTGGGCGGCGACGGCGGCAACATAGCCGCCAGACCAGCAGACAGGCCCAGACGACGGGCGGCGACGAGGTGGCGACGGGGCGGCGACAGCACAGCCGCCTGAGCGGCAGACAGGCCCAAACGACGGGCGGCGACGAGGCGGCGACGGGGCGGCGACGGCGGCAACATAGCCGCCAGAGCGGCAGACAGACCCCCATTTCCGTCGATAAGAAACAGGAGCCGAAGTGCAAGCACTGTTTGGGGAATTTTAAACAGGTCTTCGGAACCAATACAAGCTATTCAAGAAACACTCGGTCAAGACAACTATGGGATCTTTCTTCGACGTCTGCAAGACTGCAGGTGACAGAGAGCCAGCTGAAGAAGAGGGGGACAGCGCAGCAAACCCTATGCGAGAAAGAGCGAGAGAGAGAGAGAGAGAGATGTAGGGGAAGAGAGAGAGAGAGGGAGACTCACGACGATCTGCGTACTTGCTATGTCTCTCGCAATCGCGTTTCCAAACTGCTCAACCGACTCGCATCATGAGGCACAGCCGCTGCAATGCTGACACATCCTTCTAGCAAGTCTTGGAGAAACCCACCTTGAGACTCCAACAAGGGTGTGATCGGCAAACGCAAGACTCGGTATCCTGAGCTCCGGCATGGCAAACATCATACAACGTAATGATAGTAGCAAGTCGCAGCGGTGGCACTGACCCTGATATAATCCAGTACATGCGCCGTGGACGCATCACGTTTGTTAATACAGGGCGGACGGTAACACTGCCATGAGCTTCCCCTCTCACCGTGCCAATTGAAAGCCTGCATGCGCTCCAATCAACCCCCAAAGCGGCCACTGATCTTGACAACGATCTCTCAGCCGTTCTTCCCAAAGACATGACGCGCGATGCGGTACTATACCACGTGGTGCTCACGCAGCCATGAACAAAAGGAGGGAGGAGAGAGGGGGGAAGATAAGCAGTAGGCGTTCGCTCCGTATCCTGCATCCCAACCATCCAACCTAGCCCTTCCTATTGCGATGCCGACACCAATGTGTCCTAGAGAACCTGGTCCCCTAAATGACCCCATGGTGTGATGCGCAATCACAAGGGGGGGGCGCTGTACCTTGGAGGAGGAGAAGGGGGAGCAGGAGGAGGAGGTGCCGGATACGCAGGACTGGAGTAACAAAGGACCGCGTGAAAGCTGAGGATCGGCTCCCGAAATGTAGAACCTGCGTTGATGCGAGAGCGCCATTGTGAACGACGGGTGCACGGCGCCGGTCCTGCAACGTGGCCAACGCTGCAGCGGGAACAACATCTTTGAAAGACCCGGGACCGCCCGATCGAAGATCCGACCAGCCTCTGGACGTGGACTTCGCGGGTCAGTGCAGGGTTCAAGACAGTCTGGTCTGGCGCCAAGATGGCACCATAGAACTCAACATGGCCTCCCAAGTGGCACCATATGACCCAATACAGTCGGGCTGCTGAAAGAAGGAACGCCAAATAAGGAACGAAGCCCCTTTATGGCCCCACAAGCGCCTGCGAGGACGACGAACGCTAGAGAAACAGCCACGGAAGTATCTAAGGAACATCGTGGAACATCGAGCCCCTTCCGAAGCCAAAATGCTCCTTATTTCAGCGTCTGGATTGTATGGCGGTATACCGCTTCCCACATGCCTCCAAGAAGCTCCAATACTGCCCCAAGGCGGCTCCGCATGGCCACCGAGCCTCCCAAGGACCCCCCCACCCGAGAGCCCAACGCCCTTCCTACACATACAAAGAAAGTATGGATAGCTGTAGTCCGCATTTTCGCTTCCGATCGGCTTTGGAGGCTGCAAGCTCTCCCCGCGGTGCCTCGCTCCGCAGGACCCACCAGCAGCCCTCGAAAGTGGCGACAGTGCCGCAGATCGCAGCCCCCCATGGACGGCGAGGCCTCGCTCAGATCCCCGCGGTGCCTCATTCCGCAGGACCCACCAGCAGCCCTCGAAAGTGGCGACAGCGTCGCAGATCGCAGCCCCCCAGGGACGGCGAGGGCTCCACAATGGCCCAGGAGAGCTCCAAGAGGGAGTCCAATAGGGCCCCAGGTCGGCCCCCAGAACGCCCAACAGGGCAGCCCGAGAGGGCTCCGAGACGACACTTTTCAGGCTGCCGAAAAAGGGGGTGCTGATCGCCTGCAGGGTGGCGTCAAGAGGACCTCCCCCGACTTTCAATGAGGCCCCCAAGAAGGGCCCCAAGCGGGCCCAAGAGAATCTAACACTAGGGCTCCCAACTTCGCGCTTCGCGCTGCGCGAAGCGCGAAGTGCGAATAAATTCGCGCTCTCGCGCCGCCTCCCAGGGGAGAAGGAGGACGAGGAGGAATTGGAGCCGAACCGCGAAGCGCGAGTAACTTCGCGCCCTCTAGGGCGCCCTTGCCAACATTGTCCCACCAAGCCCCACATGCATCCAAAGTGGCCCCAAGGAGGTAACCGCAACCAGCCCGAGAGGCTGCCAAGAGGCCCTCAGCCCGAAAGACCTGCAAATGCCTTGGTGATTGACTCCTGTCGCAGTCGCCGTCGTCGTCGTCATCGTCGTCGTCGTCGTTCTCTTACTAGCCGGCCGCTCTGCGGTTGATCGGGAGTTTCTGTATATAGAAGAAGGTGCGTGCGCTTGTTGGCGAGGGTGATGAGGTTCCTCCTCCTCCTCCTCCTCCTCCTCCTCCTCCTCCTCCATCCTTCTCTTGCCTCCGTCTGTCCTCCTCCACCCCGCAGCTCCATCATCTTCCTCCTCCTCCTCCTCCTCCTCCTCCTCCTCCTCCTCCTCCTCCTCCTCCTCCTCCTCATTCCTCCTCTGGGCACCTCCCCCGGGGCGCGGATCCACCGGATCTGTCCGGATCTGTCCGGAAACGGTGCCGGAGGCCGCTCTGGGCTCCTCTGGGCACCTCCCCCGGGGCCGGTTTTGTGAGGATGTCTCAAGCGAGGGCGCCGGTTTGGGATTCGTCACCGGATCCAGCGGATCCAGCGGATCCGTCCGGAAACGGTGCCGGAGGCCGCTCTGGGCTCCTCTGGGCACCTCCCCCGGGGCCGGTTTTGTGAGGATGTCTCAAGCGAGGGCGCCGGTTTGGGATTCGTCACCGGATCCAGCGGATCCAGCGGATCTGTCCGGAAACGGTGCCGGAGGCCGCTCTGGGCTCCTCTGGGCACCTCCCCCGGGGCCGGTTTTGTGAGGATGTCTCAAGCGAGGGCGCCGGTTTGGGATTCGTCACCGGATCCAGCGGATCCAGCGGATCCGTCCGGAAACGGTGCCGGAGGCCGCTCTGGGCTCCTCTGGGCACCTCCCCCGGGGCCGGTTTTGTGAGGATGTCTCAGGCGAGGGCGCCGGTTTGGGATTCGTCACCGGATCCAGCGGATCCAGCGGATCCAGCGGATCTGTCCGGAAACGGTGCCGGAGGCCGCTCTGGGCTCCTCTGGGCACCTCCCCCGGGGCCGGTTTTGTGAGGATGTCTCAAGCGAGGGCGCCGGTTTGGGATTCATCCAGCGGATCCACCGGATCTGTCCGGAAACGGTGCCGGAGGCCGCTCTGGGCTCCTCTGGGCATCCCCCCCGGGGCCCGTTTTGTGAGGATGTCTCAGGCGAGGGCGCCGGTTTGGGATTCGTCACCGGATCCAGCGGATCCAGCGGATCCAGCGGATCCGTCCGGAAACGGTGCCGGAGGCCGCTCTGGGCTCCTCTGGGCATCCCCCCCGGGGCCCGTTTTGTGAGGATGTCTCAGGCGAGGGCGCCGGTTTGGGATTCGTCACCGGATCCAGCGGATCCAGCGGATCCAGCGGATCCGTCCAAACGGTGCCGGAGGCCGCTCTGGGCTCCTCTGGGCATCCCCCCCGGGGCCCGTTTTGTTTGGGATTCGTCACCGGATCCAGCGGATCCAGCGGATCCAGCGGATCCAGCGGATCCATCCGGAAACGGTGCCGGAGGCCGCTCTGGGCTCGTGCTCTTCGCGCCGGGGGTGAGGATGACGTGAGTTCCACAGAAACTCCCTCAAACCATCCCATCGTCCTCTTCTTCTTCTTCTTCTTGCTCTCATTTCTCCTCTCCTCCCACGTCCTGGTCCCCCTCTCCCTCTCCCTTATCCCGTCCTCCCTCCCTCTCTCCTCCTTCACCTCATTCGTCTGCCTCTCCTTCACCATTTTCTTTCCAGATGTATCGACGGCCCTTGCCGGGAGAGCTCGCGTGGTGACTGCTTGAGTATGGGCTGGTGAGGGCACCCGAAGCGTCAATGCTACGGGCGCAAGCGAAGGGCAAATCGCCAATCGATGAAGGCCAGAATCGAAATCGCAGGCTCTATCTAAAATGAGGTTTCGCACAGGGCAGCGACGAAATCAATCAAGGTTTCCATTTTGATTTCAGACCCGGCCCAGGCCGGCCCACTTCATTGATTGAAGCTTCCTGGTGCTCGACCGAAGGGCCCTCCACTTGTTTTGACGCGGCAGTCTCAATGTGCAAAAAACCATAACTGCGCTGAGACTAGTTTCGCCTGTGGGGCGAGGTCAGGTTCAATCCTTTTGAGTGGGTGATTACGACCGCACGCATCCGTATTTGAACCCCAAGCGATGAGTTATTGCACCTTCGACGTGCAAGCACTGTGGTGTAGCGGCGTCGAGGTGGCAAAGGGCGGCAGCGTGGCGAATCCTCGGCATACCCCCCACAGGCGGCAACAGGCGGCACCGGCCAGCAGTGGGCGGCAACGCTGGGAATCCTCGGCATACCCCCCACAGGCGGCAACGGGCGGCAACGCGGCGCATCCTCGGCATACACAGTGCGCACGAGGCGGCAACGTGGCGAATGCTCGGCATACCTCCACAGACGGCAACGGGCGGCAGCGTGGCGAATCGTCGGCATCCACACACATCGCACGAGGCGGCAACGACGCAGCAACGGGTGACAACGTGGCGAATCCTCGGCACACACCACAAGCGGCAACGGGCAGCAAAGCGGCGAGTCCTCGGCGTATCCACGCAGCGCACGATGCGGTAACGACGCGGCAGCGAGGCGGCAAAGGGTGGCAACGTGGCCAATCCTTGGCATACCCCTGCCATGCACGTTGCACCAACGTGGCGGCAACGTTTGGAATCCTCGGCATACCAACTCAGGTCGCAACCGGCGGCATCCGGCGGCAGCGTGGCGAATCCTCGGCATACCACCCACAGGCGGCAACGGGCGGCAACGCGGCGACTCCTCGGCATACCCCCCACAAGCGGCAACGGGCGGCAACGCGGCGCATCCTCGGCGTCCACAGTGCGCACGAGGCGGCAACGTGGCGACTCCTCGGCATACCTCCGCGGGCGGCAGCGGGCGGCAGCGCGACGAATTCCTGGCATGCCCGAGCATCCAATGGGCGGCAGCGGGCGACAGCGTTTGGGATCCTCGGCACACCTCCGCAGGCGGCGGACGTGACGACTCCTCGGCACACCCTCCCCTACGGGCGGCCGCAGGCGGCAGCGTGCCGCACCATCGGCACGCCCCCACACGCAGAGAGAGGGGCGGCAGCGCGGCAAATCCTCGGCACGCCCCCGCAGGCGGCAGCGCGGTGGCAACGGGCGGCCGCGTGGCGAATCCTCGGCATACCTCCCGCCCCGAATTCCGTGGAAATGCCGGAAGACCCCCCCCGAAGCGCAACCGCTGCTTGGGGGGGATGGGCACGCGAAGAAGTGCAGCCCCTGCCACGCCCTTGCGCTCCTCTGGTGGCGAGGAACTGGCACCGCTGCCGCGCCCCAGGAGCGTGACATACATGCAGACCGCACCCCCTGCGCACCTCCAGCGGCGGCGACGAAGTGCAACCTCTACCGTGGCCTGGGAGCGCGAGACAAGTAAGGACCGCAGCCCCTGCGCATCCCCTCTGGTGGCCAGGAAGTGCCGCCCCTGCCTGGCCTGGGATCGTGAAGCGGATAGAAACTGCAGCGTGAAACAGATAGAGACTGCACCCTATGCGCGCCACCCTTGGTGCACCGAGGAAGTGCAAACCCTGCCGCGCCCTGGAAGCGTGAGACGAGTAAGGACCACGCCTTCTGCGCACCCCCGCTGGTGGCGACGAAGTGCCACCCCTGCCACGCCTTGGGAGCGTGAGACAGATAGAAACTTATAGAGACCGAACCCCATGCGCACTGCCTCTGGTGGCGATGAAATGCCACCCCTGCCACGTCCTGGAAGGGCGAGACGGAAAGAGACAGCACCCCCTGCACACCTCCTCCGGTGGCGTCGAAGTGCAACCCCTGCCGCGCCCTGTGAGCGTGAGACATATATGTATCTATATATATATATAGAGAGAGAGAGAGAGAAACACATTACAGGGACAGATAGGGACCAAGCCCCATGCGCACTCCCTCTGGTGGCGAGGAAGTGCCACCACTGTCACCCTTGGAAGTGCGAGACAGCTAGAGACCGCACCCCCTGTGCACCCCCTCTGGTGGCGAGGATGTGCCAACCCTGCTGCGCTCCTGGGAGTATGTGACGACTAGCAACCGCACCCCCTGCGAGCAAACTCTGGTGGCGATGAAGTGCCCCCCCCTCTGATGGCGACGGAATGCCACCCTGGCCTTGCCCTGGGAGGGTGATATCTCTTTATGTATGTCTAATATGTAGATGCATGCCCATGTATCGACATCTGTATGCATGCATGTATGTATGTATGTATGTATGTATGTATGTATGTATGTATGTATGTATGTATGTATGTATATATATATGCCGACGTACGTATACTATCATTATACATTTGTATTTATATACACACGGCTGCATTGGCGCTTCGCGCCATGCACCTTGGTACTTGACGTTTGGCATGTATGCGGAAGGACAGGCATGTAATACATAACAGGCAGCGATAATTCCTTGCTGTCTATTCCACCATCGTCCTTAGCATTATCCTTCCCTCATGCTTCTCCTTGCTCATTCTCGCCATAGCCTGCGAATTCTTCACTAATCTCCTCAGCTCTTTTTGTGGAGACTCCTCTTTGGAGAGCCTCTTACGGGCCTCACGAAAATTTGTTAGGGCTTCCTGGCGCCTTCTGGAGGCTTCCTGGGCGCCTTCTGGGAGCCTCTGGGGGCTTCCTCGGGCCGCCCTGCTTTCAACCGCGGTCTCCCTGAACGACCGGGTGTCGGGGATCTTCTGACCCAGGTCAATCCAGACCCGGGTCAGCAGGAAACCAAAAACTGCAATGCAAGAACAAAAAAAACTGCAACGCAAGTCTTCGCAAACCCGGGTCAGCCAATATGTGCGGCCGCCTCGCGGCCACGAGCGGCTCGCTAACCCGGGTCAACCAGAGGGGGTCTTCGCAGGATCCTGCAGGATCCGGTGCCGTGGCTGACCCCCGTTTGCATTGACCCCCGTCTCAAGGCTCCCGAGGGTGACGATTTGGAATGCTTCCGGGGCGCTTCGGGGCCATCTTGGGCCGTCATGGGGCTCTCTTCGCGGGCAATCCTTGGAGGGCAGAAAATCCACCCCGAGAATAACCACCCCGACAAGCGAAGCCGTTTAGTAAACGCACCCGAAGAAAGAATCAAACAGGGCAGGGCCGTTTAGTAAACGCCCAGGGTCGTTTAGTAAACGCCAATTGTCGGGGTCGGGGTGGTTTTTCCTCCCTTGAATCCTGGGGCCCTGTTTGGGGCCGTCTTGGGGCTCTCCTGGGCTGCCTGGAAACCATTTTCGGTTCGCTTTGGGGGCGACTTTCGGGCCTCCTGGGCGGCCTCGGGCGCCCAGAGGACCGAAGAACAGAGCATTCCCCGAATCGAGCAAGCTCAGCGGGAGGGGAGGGGAGGGGAGGGGAGGGGAGGGAGGGGAGGGGAGGGGAGGGGAGGGGAAGTGAATGCTTTTGTGCTTCGAAAGCCTCCTGGGGGTCTTCTTTGGGTTGTCTTCGGGCGTCTGGTGGGTGTCTGCGGCCTCTTGAGGTTGTCACAAGGCTGTTCGGCCGCCATCCTGATCGATTTGGGCCCGTCGGCTGGGCCCAGCAGGGGCGTCCAGGAGCCCTGGAAAGCCAAGGGGACCTTCTGCAGGGACGTCCAGGGAGTCCCCAGTGCCACGGGTCCGGGGGGTCCCGTTTTGGGCCCCCCCCCCTCACGGCTGGGAAACATGTAAGATGTAGAAAGAGAGAGAGAGAGAGAGAGAGAGAGAGACAGACAGACAGACAGACAGACAGACAGACAGACAGACAGACAGAGATAGAAAGCGAGAGAGAGAGAGAGAGACAGAGGAATAGGCCGCACCACCTCCCTTGGTGGTGGCGAGGGAGTACGACCCTTGCCGCGCCCTGGAAGTGTGAGACGGATAGACACACACACACACACCTATATATACATATATATATATATACACATAATATATATATATATATATATATATATATATAGACCGAACGCCATGCGCACTCACTCTGGTGGCGAGGACGTGCCACACCTGCCACGCCCTGGGAACGTGATGCGCGTAGATACCGCACCCCCTGCGCACCTCCCCTGGTGGCGAGATAATGCCACCAGTGCCACGCCCTGGGAGCCGGAAGCGGATAGAGGCCGCACCCCCTGCGCACCCCCCTCTGGTGGCGACGACGTGCCACCCGGGCCACGCCCTGGGAGCGTAGGATGGACAGACCCATACACGGAGATCGCCCCCCCCCCCCCCCCCCCGCGCACTCCCTCCGGTGGCGAGGTCGTGCCACCCCTGCCACGCCCTGGACGTGCCCGCTCCAGATGTGCATCTCCATGGGTCTGTCCATGTGTACGTGTGTGCGTGCGCGTGCGTAGGTGCATCGGTATGTGGATTGGTGCACGTATGTGCACGGTCGGACCTAGGACATAATCAACATCCTTCAAGAACATGCGACACCCCGCTTGAGCATACGCGCGCGATGTCAGCGGCGAGAGCTAGTAAGTACTCAGGTCGTGCAGCTGCGGAAGAGGAGGAGAAAGAGGAGGAGACGGAGGAGGAGGATGAGGAGGGAACCTCTTCGTGCCCTTGGTCCGTCTGCGGAGCCCCAGTACGGATGGCAGACCTCCGAAAATCAAGCTCCGACTCGAGATCCAACTGCACCTCCTCCTCCTCCTCCTCTTCCTCCTCCTCCCCCTCCTCCTCCCACTTATCCCCCTTGTCTCCATCTCTCCTCTCCCTTCCCCTTCTGTTCCTCCCTGCCTCCTCCTCCTCCTCCTCTTCTTTACCTTCTGCTCCTCTGGCTCCCTTCTCCCTCTCCCTTCTCCGGCTCCCCCTGATCCCTCCTCCCGCTCTCTCCCCCTTTTTCCCTGTGAGGGCGGAGCTCCTCCTCCCAGTCCAGGACCGGGTGCTCCCGCGTCTCGCACTTCTGGCCCGGGCAGAGGTCCTGCGCGAGGGGGGCGTACATGGGGGGAGGCGCCGAAAAGCAGGGGGGGGGACGAGGGGGAGGAGGAGGAGGAGGAGGAGGAGGAGGAGGAGGAGGAGGAGGAGGAGGAGGAGGAGGAGCACAGCGTTCAAAGCTGTCTGTAACCCAGGCCCCCTACCCCAGGCACTCGGGCGGTCCTGGCCTCTCCAGGTCGCCGGCCTGCTGGACGTGCTCCGCGGCGCAACCCGCCGACGTATGGGAGCATGGCAATCGATCGTTCTCGGTGGAAGACTGGAACAAGGGGCGAAGAGGAGAGACGGCAGAAGCAGCAGCAGCGGGGCCCAGCCGAGGAGAGGAAGGGAGGGAACGGGGATGCGACAACTGGCAGGTCATCAGAGATAAAGCTCGATCCAGAGCAGGATCAGCACTGGGAGGGTTCGAGCGGAAAACATCAGAGCTCTGGGACACGCGAGGGGGAGGCGCAGCAGCAGGAGGACTCTCAGCAGCGAAAGAGGAAGGTCCCAGATGCGACGCAACAGTGCAGGGTGATGGCTCAGAGAAAGCTTTCACATCTCTCACTCTCACATCATGGCCATCACCTGTCGAGTCAACCTCCTCACAACAACTTCCAATCTCGCTAGTGCTGCCAAGGTCTATAACACAGAAGCTACCATCAAAACGAAGGTGCGGGAACTCCAAAAGCCAGTCCTGAGGCGTGTCCATATCACCAACATTATCAGGGTCATCCTCTCCCTTCAGTATATCATACTCATCATCTGGAAGAATCGCAATCTCGGTATCCACTACTACCGAAAGACAATCTGCATCAGAGTCATAAGAAGCGTTCCCGTCAATATCCGGGAATACATGGGGATGCTCCTCCTCTTTGTCGGCAACCAAGGACGATAACGAGCACGACGATGAAACAGCGGGGGTCAGTCGCGGGCTGCAGCTGGAAGATGAGCTCGACGAAGGAGAGGTGGTGCTGGAAGCACGCAGCACCTTCCGCAACGACAGGGATCTGGCCGCACACGTAGCACTGTTAATTCCTGAAGCAGGAGAGGCGAGATGCATAGAACGAACCGCAGCCAGAGCCTGACTTCGAAGGGAAGATTCACTCACTCGGGGTTGATGCCGTATCTCATGGTAGAGCGTGTACATAACAGTGATCTCTTGAAAGTGGCACACAGCAGGAAACTCAAGCGACAGCCGCCGAGCCAAGCGCCGTGGGATAGGATGTTGGAGGGCACCGAATACCGCCCGTAGTAGCAAAGGACACCGAAGGTAGTGTGATAGTCTGTCAGGATGGCCCACACATCCACAAATGCACTCGCGCTTTCCAGCAGGATATGAGATGCGGTAGCTATTGAGCCACCCATTGCACCAAATTCGTATTACCGCCATCGACCAGCTGCACGGACATTTTGACAGCAACGCACGGAGCGTCGCCCAGTCGACTTCATGCAGAAACGGCACCCACTCAGCGAACAAAGGTTTCAAGCGCTCCTGAAATATCCCTTCCAGCGGGCGTTGCTTCTCAGCATGAGTTCGAAGGGCAGACGTGGCAGCGCGTTGTGGTCGTCGTCGCCCATCCTCAACCAGAAGCTCATCACGGATAGCATCACGCGCAAGGTTAACCATTGATTCAGAGAAGGATCCCACTGCAGCACCATTGCCAGCTTGTTGTAGATTGTGCAAAAGGCAGGGCATGCCCCGCCACGCAGATGAGCCCAGCAGCCTGCCAGGATCCATGACAACAGGTAACTGTCCGAGAGTGGCCTCGTCCCAGTCTCCTCCAAGCATCCTCTCACCAGAACGAGCCATTTTCCGTTCATACTCATGAAGAAGAACATCACAATGCAAGTCGAGTGTGGTAACGGAAGCTCGAACAAGCGCTGCCAGACAAGAATGAGCCAAAAGAGGTACGCGAACTCCTCCCCACGACTGTACTTGCACCCAGCCGTCCAAGGGCATCAGACCAACAGGGGCCCGAAACACCTGGGCCAGAAGGCCCGGCTCCATAGATGCGCGTCGCCTAGGCAGGGGCACAAACTGAGCCACATAGGAGCACGCAGAGGCCACGCGCGATCCATATAGAGCCCCATGGATAGAAGACGGCGCCGAAGACGTCCCAAGCAGCCTGCATCGTGTCCTGAGCTTGGCCAGCGCATCCGCCCAGACCATGTCGACCGTAACCGCAGGGCCCAGCAAGATGCCCAAGTACACCAGGGACTCCACAATGTCAAACGACACCCACGAGGGGGCGACTTCCAATATCAAGCCAAGAAGAGCACGAACGTCAATAGATTCAAAGGGGGCCCATAGTGCAACCACCTTGCATTTGGAGACCTTCAGGAAGAGCCCAGCGAGCCCCTCGCAGAGGCCCATGATCCGATAGAGCACACGCAAGCGAGCCGTCTCATACAGCGCGGCACCAATGTCGTCGGCGCAAGCACGAACCGCACCCCGATCTTTCTTGTCAATGCTGTTCTCAAAGTCTCGAATAAAAGGGGCCGTGGCCAAGCCGAACGCAGTTCCAGAGAGCCCATCCCCGTGGGGAATACCAGACCGAATCCAGTAGATGCGACGCAGGCGGCCTCCCGAGGCAACCACCCCCTCAACGGCCTCATAGAGCCAGTGGGGGAACGCAAGGAATGGCAGGGGAAGATGAGAGCGACGCATAAGCTCATGGATAAACTGCTGCGGGGTGCCGGGGAACGCCGGCCCAAAGTCGAGCGGGGCGAGCAGTGGCGATCGAGTCGAGGCAAGTGGGTGCGAGGCGGCAGCTCTCCCAAGCCCATCCAATTCAAGAATGTTATAGCCAAAGTTTCTTCCAACAGCAAAACCTCGTTGAGCGCGCGGAACAACGCAATCTACTAGGGGGCGCATGGACCTGTGGATGGCAGCCGTCAGTATCTTGACACCAGTGTTGCGCAACCCCAAAACACGAACACGGTCGGCCGAGCGAGAGCATCCCCCACCCAACTCATCATGCTGATCAGCACCCTCAAGGAGAAAGGCCTGGATGGTCACACTTGCCGAATCGTAGAGAACCTGGCCTCTGAGCAGCCAGTCCAACGAGTTGCACAACGCATCTAGACACACATCCGCTGTTGCCCACGCAGCATATGGACGCCCATCCACCCCGTGAGCGGAATGTCGAGCCCTCGCCACAATCTTGCGAATGTCAGATATGGTAGGGGCACGCATCTGGACCTCAACCCTCGGTAAAAGCTTATCCATACACACCTGCGTAAGAGGGCGGTCAAACGGTTTCTTCGAGACCACAGGCTTCCAGTACGCCTCCAAAGCAGCAAAACGATCAGCCTCCTCAACAGCCCTTCCATCCTCCCGTTCAACAGCTTTGGGACAGAGCCTCTTAGATATATCGGACTCCAGATGGCAGCCCTCCGCTCAAGATGTTGCAGACGTTTGCGCGATGACCGAGACGAAGCAGGAGAAGACGAAGAGGATGAGGCAAGAGACGCAGACGCTTCATTTGCCAAGGAGCGGCAATGCACATCATCCGTCCACTTGTGGAACGACTCCGCGTGGCGCAGGGAGACCCCATTCGAGCCCACCACGAGCATCGCAGAGGCCATCGCATTAGTCTCGATCAGCTTCGTCGCCAGCTTCACGTCCTGGCGCTAAGCCACGCGAGCACAGCTGCGGGCAATTAATATATCAACACCATCACCTCGTTGACAGTGAAGAAGCAAGTGTTCGCGGGCTTCCCGTGCAGCTTCCTTAAGCATGACCTTGAAGTGCTCCGCATATGTCGCAGGAGGCACCTTGTCAATCGCACGGTCGCCATCCTCGACCATGCCAAGGAGCCTCTTCTTGAAGAACGGGAGGGCAACGAGAAACTTTGGGATCTGTCGCTCGCTCGGGGGTGGGGCAGATCTCGTCACGGTCGACGTCATGACCGCCGTGTGGTCCGAGATCTTCGCAACGGAGAGCTCGATCGGGTCCCCAATCGAACGCGTCTGCACCACCAACTGGCATAACAGCCAACCAGGTACAGAGAAAAAGAATTTGTCCAGCACGTTAAGCGAATTCGAGGAAGCCGTATAGTGGGTTGCAGCATTGGAGGCGACCTCCATGAAGCGGCCGAGGGAGCGCATCCATCGAGTCACCTGCATCCTATGGTTGCGGGGCTCAACTGCAGCAGCACGCTCAGGACGCTGAACCTGAAGAGCATAGTCGCTCCCAAAGTTGAAGTCACCCTGGATGACCACCATCCGATCGCACGGGGAGGAGGAGGCCCAGGCCTGGGCAGCATCGAGTTCTCGACACAGTCTCTCCAAATCCTCACCGCTAATATCATAGTTATGAACAGGAAGCACGACCAATGAGTAATCAGAGCTCTGCACATCCACCCGCAGTACGCGGCCAGGAACCAGCTCCGTAGACCAGCTGATAGTACCAGCCGCGAGTGGAGGGAGAACGACCGCAACCCCACCACGTCCTGAACATACCTCTGGAGCACGCCGACTGAAGAGCCCATCATCGCGCCGACAAAATGAGGCATGAACAGTCGATCCAGGCGAGATTTTGGCCACGAAATCCAACAGCTGCGTTCGATCCGCATGAACTTCTTGAAGGCAAAGTATAGAGTGAGGGAGGTCAAACTTCCTGAGGTAACACATCTTGCTCTGGGCACGGGCACCTCCATGCTGAAGAAGAGCCCGAGCATTCCACGAGACAAACTGCACTCGTCCTTGTCTATCATGATAGGAAAATAATCCAAGCAGTCCGTCAAAAAGACCATGCAATTGCCTCAGGCGGCGCAATCGCTGCCTCCACAGCTTTCGAAAGGGCCACTCGGTCAATCTGCAGCTGCTGCAAGCCTGCATCATTGTACGCCACTTCGAACGGATCATCTCCAGGCTGAGAATTGATCTTAACAAGGTTTGTCCAACCACCTTTGAAGATACCACGCTCACGATCCATGGCCCATCGAACCTGTGGGAAAGCATCTCCACCCCTCCTCCCTCCCACATCTCTCGCCCATGGAACTGGCCCCCCCCGTCGCACCACCGGACGTGTACGTAAGCAGGGGCTGGCGTTACGCTTGACTTCCCTGCAACACACTACTACCCTGGAGCAAGAAGCTTCCACAGCTACGAGGATGGAGGGCAAGTCGTTTTCAGAATGCGGCTATCGCCTTGGCGTCCCGCACATTCGACTTCAACGCTTCCAATCGCTCCAAGGATGCAGTACCGCTCGTTTTCAAAATGCTGCTCTCGCTGGGAACCTCTCTGCATTCTATGGCCCGAAGCTCCAGAATGTGCAACAGCTGCACGGATGGAGGGCGGTTCCTTTTCACAGTGGGGCCCTCGCTGGAGACTTCCGCAACATCTGGGAACAGAATTTTGAGGCTGTGCAACGAGTGCGTGGATGGAGGGCAGATCCTCTTCAAAACTGCATTACCGTTGGACGCGCCCGTGAACTTTGCCGTGCCACATGTTCAGGCTTCGTTACTCGTGAGGATGGAGGGTGTGTCCTTGACAGAGCGGGCTATAGTCTGAATGGCAGGCCCACCGCGCGCTCGTCATTCAAGGTGACACGCTTCCCGCAGTGGAGAGGAAAACTTGAAGGGCTTTGTGACGAGGGGACTTGGGACAGGAGGGTGACTTGCAAGATCGTTGACACATTCTGGGCTTACTCTGGTCCTCCTCCTCCTCCTCCTCCTCCTCCTCCTCCTCCTAGTCCTGCCTGGAAGGGGCTCGACCAGACGAGGTGTGAGCTCCGATGCCGCTGGCGTGCTGCCCCGTCCAGGGCCACGTTGGCGCCATGAGCTGATGTTGAGACCTCCCTGCTCTTCAGCCAGATCTGGAGGGTTCCAAGGGCTCCCCGATAGATGATCGAGCCCCGATTCTCTGAAAGGTTTTGGGGCATTTGTCCCATTGGGCCTCCTGAAGCTGGAGCTGGGGATTGAGCGAGGCTGGAACTGGGGATGTTGCTGGTGCTGGGGCTGGGGCTGGCTCTGGCGCGAAGCTGGGATTGAAGACGGAGCTGGGGTTGGAGCGAAGCTGGAGCTGGACCTGGGCCCGAGCTGGAGGTGCAGTTGGAGCTGGAGGTTGGGCTGTTGCTGGAGTTGGGGCTGGAGCGAAGCCGGAGCGGAGCAGAAACTGAGGCCCTGACTGGAGAAGGGGCTGGAGCCAGAGCTGGGGCTTAAGCAAAGCGGCGGATGGGCTGGAACTAGAGCTGTGAGTGGAGCTGGGCTGAAGCTGGAGCTGAGGTTGAAGCGAAGCTGGACCTGAAGCTGAAAATAAGCTGGAGCTGGAGCTGGACCTGGAGCGAGAAAGAAGCTCGAATTGGAACTGGAGATGAGCTGGAGCGGTGCTGGAGTTGGAGCTGAGGCGGGAGCTTGTCAGCCTGAACCAGGGACCAATCTGCTCTCGAGACGCCTGTGAGGCCGGCCCATAAAACTGCACCGTCTCAAAACAAATAAACCCAAGAGGCACCCACTGACAGGCTTCATTATCCAGTTCACATCCTGTCCAGGGCCTTCAAAAAAGAGGAAAGCCACGGAGGCTCGAAGCAAAAACCTCGCGCGAATCTCGGCACGCTCCTCCCCCCTCTCCTCAACGCGGGCTGCACGGCACACCAGCCAAGGGGCAATTCCATCCCGCCTCGGCGCCGCATGCGCCACGACCTGATACTGTTTGTGACACAGCGTGCCCGTCTCTCCCGCGCTCAGCCTACGCGTGCCGCAACTGTGCAGGCCGTCCCTGGGAACTGATGGCCTGCGGCCAGCGCGCACTGCACATCAGACTGCGAAGCGGCCTGTGATGCCCAGGGCCCCTAACGGATGAGGAGGCTCGACAGGGAGGCTTGAGGGCATCCCAGAACAGAGGGTACACAAGCAACTCGGGACCACTCGTTTTTCCCCCAGGCTTCCGTGCTGCCCCAGCGCCTGTCGATCCGACGCTCCGACGGCTCCAGCTCGCACTTTCAGTCGACCCTCCACAGGCGCCAACCGGGCAAGGCGATATTCTAAACCTTCTCCAAGATCGCTCACAGCATAACTGAACTCCTGGAATCGGCAACCGATCCTGAGAAGAGAGAGAGAGAGAGCCAGAGATAGAAAGAGGGGGAGGAAAAGAGAGAGAGAGAGAGAGAAAGAGGGAGGGAGGGAGGGAGGAAGAGAGAGAGAGAGAGAAAGAGAGAGAGAGAGAAGCAAACACAAAAAGAGGGAGAGCGAGAGAGAGAGAGAGAGATAAAAACAACTAAATCATTACTTAAAGCTATATCTGGAGAGAGCAGACACATCTATATATATATATACATCTAGAGAGAGATATGCAACATCGACGGGCGTCGACCCTCCTTGTCAAGGATACTTTGCCTGGGCCCAGCGAACCGCATTGTCTAACGTGAAACTTAGGATCGCAACCCTAGGAAGACTGTTCCAGACCGCTATGGCCCACTCGAAAGCCACATGGCCCGTGTAGGCCACCAACGGGCCAACCATCTCTCCAAGACGAAACGAGCGCAACCGAATCTTCAGCCGGCCTATGCTGTGAACCAGCGGAAGCCTCAGGCCACGCATGGCCGTCGGCGTCATGCCAGAAACACGGACGAAATCGCCCAGATCTCGAGCCTGCAGCGACGAATCTCGAACTGCTGGTTCCAATCCTGCGAACTCCTCCTCGCGTCACATCGGTGCCGAGACTAGGTGGCGACATCCGAACCCTCCACCCCACCAGGCATCGACTCTCCTGAATCGATGGGAGGCGGGGGTAGGGTTCGGAGTTCGCCACGTGTTCGACGAATTCCGAACGCTACCCCCACCGTCCATGGAGTTGCCTGAACCGTCGTCGGCGAAGGTAGGGTTCGGATCTCGCCGCCGAGAGATTGCGAGCATGTTGGACCCGAAACGTCGCCGAAGCTCGACCGCACGTGTGGCGCTCAAACTCGCCCGTTCATGTACTTCATGTTTTGGCTTTGTTTAAGCAAGCCTTGCTCCGTGAGTCACGAACACAGCTGCTCCACAGAGCCGGCAAACACTCCTACCGCCTGCGCAGAACGCCCGCACGCCTGCAGCGCCGGATCATCCACCACGTTGCGGATGAACAGATCCAGTCGCCCTTGTCGTGTGAGCAGGAGGGGGTGCAGTGGCGTCAACGTAGCTACCGCCGTAGCTACAATGGTGCCCCCCGAGCACCCCGCTATACCGGCAGCGTTTGCCATTTGTTTCTTTTGTTTGAAAGCGCCCCCACCCCCAGAGAAGAGAGGAGTAGTAGGAGGAGGGATGATACTGTGGAGCGTGGCCTGAGGGGAGGGGGGGATCAGCAGGAGGAGGAGCAGGAGGATAAAGAAGAGGAGGAGGAGGAGGAGGAGGAGGAGGAGGAGGAGGAGGAAGAAGAATATAAGCGAGGGGAAAAGCACGGGGCGGAAGGGCAGTTGGAGAGGAGAAAAGGAGGAGGGTGAGCAGGAGGAAAGGGATGAGGAGGAGGACGACGAGGGCAAGGGTGAGAGGGAGGACGGCGACGAGAAGGGGGGCGGAGAGGAGGCGTTGGAAGAGGAGGGACTGGGACGATGAGGAAGAAATCGGAGGACGAAAGAGGAGGGGGAGGATAAGAAGGATGTGCATGATGCGAAGGCAGAGGTGGAATAGGGGAAAGGAGGGATAAACAAAAACACGTTGTCAAAGGGTCGACAAGAACCCTGCAGTTGGATCTGGAAGAAAACACTAGGGAACTTGACAGCCCGACTCATAATATCGCCCGTTAAAACATCCGGTCAAACCTGAAGGGTGCATGCGTAACCGCAGCTCAGCAGAAGCAGAACGGCTCCCGAGCGATGAGGATGCTGTCCACATGAGCGATGCTGCTGCATCCGCAGTGGATCTCTCCTGGCAGGCGGCGCACTGCAACCACAAACTCGGCCAACTGCCGCAGTGCCCCCCGCCTCTGCCTCTCCTCCCTGGAGTCTGTCCAAGCAGTATGTTGAACACACGACTGCAATTACAAGCCCACCTCGTGCCCATCCCATTGATTCACTGCGACAGGGAAGATCGCGACATGTCAACAAAGCGCTTGAACAACTCAACCCCTCTAGACAAGGCCGACGAGTTTCCGAGTCGCGCGAGCTCGCACATTGCCCGACGAGGACCCAGGCTGCCAGAGCCGATCCGCTGCCTGCAGTGGCCGTGGTGACTTGTAGGGCCCCTTGGGATGCACTGACCAAGACCCGCTCCCACACGCGCCTTATCATCGCTGTAACCCCGTAACGTTCGAGCAGGGGCTGCCATTTCAAATCAGTTCCTCCTCCTCCTCCTCCTCCTCCTCCTCCTCCTCTCAGTCCTCCTCCCAGTCCTCCGCCGAACCCCAACACAATCTCACAATCAGTCCCTGGCCCCCTCCCCAAATCCATCCTAGCTAGTTTTTCGACGGCCCTTGGGATCGAATCAAGCCCCCAGACGCCGAAATCGAGGAAGAACCTCCAGCGCTCTGCGCTCTCTCTTACTGCTCTCTCCAAATCAAGCGACCCCAGCTCCCACACGCGCCTTATCATCGCTGTAACCCCGTAACGTTCGAGCAGGGGCTGCCATTTCAAATCAGTTCCTCCTCCTCCTCCTCCTCCTCCTCCTCCTCCCAGTCCTCCGCCGAACCCCAACACAATCTCACAATCAGTTCCTGGCCCCCTCCCAAAATCCATCCTAGCTAGTTTTTCGACGGCCCTTGGGATCGAATCAAGCTTCCAGACGCCGAAATCGAGGAAGAACCTCCAGCGCTCTGCGCTCTCTTACTGCTCTCTCCGAACCAAGCGACCACACACAGACACACACACGCACACATCAAGCTGATGCTCAGTCGTTGTCGTTCGACGAACCCGCATGGAAGATCCCAAGGGCATCCTGGAACCTTCTGCACGATCGTCCTCATTATCCTGCTTTCTCCATGTTCCGTGCTGTTCCTCCTCTTCCTCCGGGCTTCTCCTGGCTCTTTTCTCTCCTCCTCCCCCTCCTCCTCCTCTTCCTCCTCCTCCTTCTCCTCCTCCTTCCCCTCCTCCCACTCCCTCTCGCCGCCCGTAGCCATTTGGCCTCATGCCTTCCCGCAGGACCCCTGCTACTGGACCTTGTCCCTCGGCGTGCCCCGAGACCCCAGCTTCACGGGGCCATGTGACGGGCGAGCGGGTCTTGGGGGAGTAGAGCTTTTTGGCGGCGCGCGCAAGGGGCGGAGGGAGGGGGGAGGGCTTCTTAGAAGGAGGCTGCTGCTTAGAAGGCGCTGGCCTCACATCTATACATAAGGCCCGCGTCTTCTAAGAAGCAGGGGTGCTTCTAAGAAGCCCTGCCCCCTCCCCCCACCCCCGTGTGCGCGCCGCCAAGCTTTTATAGAGGGCAGAAAATCCACACCCATAAAAATCACCCCGACAAGCGAAGCCGGCTAGCAAACGCACCCAAGGAAGGAATCGAACAGGGCAGGGCTGTTTAGCAAGCGCCCAGGGCCGCTCAGTAAACGTCAATTGTCGGGTCTGGGCGGTTTTTCCTCACTTGACTCTAGCTCGCGGAGGGTGGCGGCGGGAGGGTGCAGCATTGCTGAAGGGGCCCCAGAACAGACAAATAAATACACACAAATAAAGATACTCCCCATATTTTCCTATATTTTCTGGGTTTCTGTCTTCCCCCCCACTTCCCATATTTTCCCATATTTTCTGGGAAATCGACGATTAATTGTGTCTGTGTGTTTCTTTTCCTCCTGAATTGCACGCGCCGCAGCCCAGAGGACCGCAGGGCCCGGAAGCTGTGGGCTGGGCAGGCCTGCCGGCCGTGCTGTCGTCGAGCCCCCTTCTGGCCATCGCTCGGACGTCCATTCCCTGCGTTTTTTTTTGTTGGTTTTGTGCGTGGTTTTTTCGCCAAATGATCAAGGATGCTCCTCGATGGCCCTCGCCGAAGGAAACATGCACACGTCCGAGCGATGCCAGGCCTCCGGCGAGCTCCGGCGGGTGCGGGCGGACCTCGAGGCGACCGTCGGCGGCCCCGCCACCGCGGCACGGCGCCGACGCCTGCCCCCTGGGGAAGAAGCCCGCGGGGCGCGCGCCGCGGGGCTGCTCTGCACTCCGACGCTCGCAGGGTGCGCGTGTCGGCGGCCGCCGATCGAGCAGAGGCGGCGGCTGCAGAAACAGGGGGCCGGGTCGGAGGCCCGTGCTGCTGGCCATCGCTCGGACGTCCACTCCCTGTGCTCTTTTCGGTTTCGTGCGTGGGTTTTTCGCCAGATGATCAAGGATGCTCCTCGATGGCCCTCGCCGAAAAAAAATGCACACGTCCGAGCGATGCCAAGCTGCAGAAACAGGGGGTCGGGCTGGAGGCCCGTGCTGAGGCGGATGGCAGCACGCGCACCGCGGGCGCGTCGGCGTGCCTCCCCTGCGGCTCGTTCGCTGGGCGTTGGGGGCCTTTGCTGCAGCAGGCCCCCACCCGGCGCTGCAGGCGGCCGCGTCGTGGACAGAACCGCGGCCTCGGCGGGCGGCGACGGCGAGGCGCAGGACCGCGGCCCCGCGGTCGTCGCGCTGTGCAGGGAAGCCGCTCCCACGGATGAGGTGCTCGTGCTCGACGGGAGAGACCAGGGCATGCGCGGTACAGTCGGGGCCTTGACCTAAGGAACCCAAAAGAAGTAACGAGGCCCCTTTTTTCCATAAGTTAAACTTCGATTTCCGATCGACCACATAAGGAACACCCGAGGCAAGCTTTGAGACAATCCAGGAACACCGAGCCCCTCCCCCACGAAAAGGGCTCCTTCTTCGGTGCCCCGACTGCGCACGGTAAGGATACCGTCCCAGATGCCGTCGCTGACCTGCCTAGTGTGATGGGCGTGTTTTCCACACCACCGCCACCATAAGTTGGAGAGGGGGGGTCCTCCTCCGCCTCCTCCTCCTCCTCCTCTTCGTCCTCCTCCTCCTCCTCGCCCTCCTCCTCCTCCTCCTCCTCCTCCTCCTCCTCCTCCTTCCCCCCTCCAACTTATGGTGGTGGTGGTGGAAAACACGCCCATCATAGTGCTGCACGAGATCCCCTGGGTGGCAGCGTCGGCTCCCGGGCCCGCCGGCGCGGCGGGCCTGCCAGAGCCCGGCAGTAGGCCCGCTCTGCCCGGGCGGCGTGAAGGCCGCTCCGAGGGCGGCGCGGCGCGGCAGCGTCCTTTTAGGCGGAGCGCAGACATGATTGGCCTGTTTTCCACCACCACCACCACAAGTTGGAGGGGGAGGGGGTCCTCCTCCTCCTCCTCTTCGTCCTCCTTCTCCCCGTCCTCCTCCTCCTCCCCCCCCCAAGTTATGGTGGTGGTGGTGGAACACACGCCCATCAAAACAGATGTGGCAGCTCGCCGTCCCCCCCCCCCTCCTCGGACTCCCCGCGTCGGGCCTCGCGGAGTCTGGGTGGCGGCCGTGCCGCGGGTCGGGGCCTCGCCGTTTTGTTACGTCTGCCCCGCCTCGGTCTTCACCTGCGCCGCCGTGCTGGAGGAGGTCCGAAGGCGTGCGCGCGTGGGCGGGGGTAGAGGGCAACAGAAAAAGCCCATCCTCTCTGCAGGCCTCAGGAGGCAGCCGCAAACCCAGAGATCGCAGACGATCTCCCATCCGCCTGCCCCTCCCTCCTCCCTGCCCCTCCCCCCCCCTCCCGCCTTTAATCCGTCCCTCCCTACTCCCTCTCTCCCTCCCTGCTCCTTCTGCCTCCTGGCCCCCGCTCTGCACATTCCCCGTTGGGGACACGGCGTCCTGTGTGGCTGTGGTAGAAGTGGAGAAACGGGAAATCTGGAGTCTCCGCGCACGTGTGCTTCAAGCCGTTGTCGTCCCAACATGGGTGCGGTATGCAAACCTTCCCACGATTCTGATGGCGACGCTGATGATGATGATGATGATGATGATGATGATGATGATGATGATGATGATGATGATGTTGATGATGCTGATGATAATGATGATGATGATGATGATGATGATGATGATGGCGATGATGATGATGCTGATGAAGATGTTGCTGATGTTGATGATGGTGATGCTGATGATGATGGTGATGATAGTGATGGTGGTGATGATGATGTTGGTGAGGATGGTGAACATGACGATGATGCTGGTGCTGCTGATGCTGCTGCTGATGATGATGGTGATGACGATGTGAATGACGATGCTGCTGCTGCTGTTGCTGCTGCTGATGATGATGATGATGATGATGATGATGATGATTATGATTATGATGATGTCGACGATGTTGGTGATAATGGCGATAGTGAGGATGTTGCTGATATTGTTGTTGCTGTTTTTGATGATGGTGATGATGGTGATGCTGATGATGCTGCTGATGGTGATGATGATGCTGCTGCTGATGGTGATGATGATGATGAGGAGGAGGAGGAGGAGGAGGGTCGAGGATGGAGGGAGGACGAAGCAAGCGGAGGATGCGGAGGAGGAGGATGAGGAGGAGAGGGAGGAAGGCGGATGGAAGGGTGAGGAGTACAGGGGGAGGGGGGAAGAGCGAGAGGGGGATACAGGGGGGTGGGGGAGGAGTAGCACGAGCACAGAGAGCACAGAGGAGCAGGCAGGAGGAGGAAGGCGAGAGCAGGAGGGAGTGACGGGGAGCACGGGGGAACGGGAGGGGAAAACTGCTGGCACAATCGAGTGAGCGCGCTTGCGGCGTGTACGTATAACAATTTCACTTGCAACACTCGCCGCAGAGCTCCTTGATCCGCAGTGCGCCTCACCAGCCTTCACGCGGAGACCGAGATTGCACTTTTGGCACGTTGCCCCAGTGCACCAGGCGGCTTCCCTCCCCTCAAACATCGGCCCCGGACCTTCGTGGGGCTCTTTCGATATTTGCACGTGGATATGTATATTTATATGTATGTCTGTATGTCTGCACGTACATATGTATGAATGTAGGTCTGTCTGAATGTATAGGTGGATGTATGTATGTATGTATGTACGTATGTATGTATGCATGCATGCATACATGTATGTATGTATGCATGTATGTGTGTATGTATGTGTGTATATATGTATGTAAATGCCTACGTATGGATGCATGTATGTAGGTATATAGGCCGGTAGGCAGGTCTGAATGCATGCATTAATGTATGTAAGCATGCATGTATGTATGCATGCATATATGCATATATGTAACGATGTATGCATGTATGTGTGCATGCATATATGCATATATGGTTGTATATGTGTGTACATATACTTATGCATGTATATTTGTATGTATGTATGTATGCATGCATGCATGCATGCATGCATGTATGTATGTATGTATGTATGTATGTATGGAGGTGTGTAAACATGGGTGTATGCATGTGTGTATGCATGTATGCATGCATGCATGTATGCATGAATGATTGTATGTTTGTGTGGAGTGATGTTTGTTTGCTTGTTTGCTGGTGTAAATACGGATGCATGCATGCATGCATGTATGTATGGTTGTATGTATAGATATACAACTATGACGAAAGGGATCCATCCGTGGCAACGGAAAAGTATCCTGGAGGCCCCAAGGGGCCAGAAACACCCAAACACGTTCATCATTGAACCTCGATTTTATACACGGCGATCCTCGTCCTCGGGCGGCATTGATAGCTAACCGACCTCCCCGCTGAGAGGCGCCGTTGCCGCGGGCTCACGCGGCGATTCGGCCCTGAACGCTGCAGCCGTGGGGGCCGCTGTGAACCGCGTATTCTTGACGCAATCGAAGATGGCCTTGAAGTTGGCACCCTGGATGCGGGCGCGCCACTGCTTGATGCGCGCGTGAGCGTTCTCCTGGTCCATCTTGCTCGCAATAGCCTCTTGAATGTCCTGGAACGCAGCGAGGTCCATAGCGTCCGTGTCCTGATCCAGAACCTCGTCGGCGATGAGGGCCTTGAGGCCGCGCTCGATATTCCGAACAAGGTCAGGGCGGTCCTGCCCGGTCGGTCTTCTCGTCGCGCAAGTGCTGGGCGATGCGGCGCATCACTCGGTGAAGCCGCCGCTCGACGAAACGCTTCTGGTGCCCACGGGCAGCGCGGAACGTTCTCTGCCCCTTCTTCAGGTCAGTGCCAAACTGCTGGGTTTGCTGATCCGCTGGGGCCCTGCGGGGAAGGCTTCAGGCAGCCACACCCTTCGCTCATAGCCGACCATCGTCATTATCCATAAGTGCTCGTTCCCAGGTCTGTGCATGGGCAGCAGCGGCGGATCGCCACTCCTCCTCCCAGTCGTCCGGGGTAATTATCCAAGTTGTGGCTCACTCTGTTCGCCTGCACGGCAGCCCGAGGTGCGAGCTGGCCCTTTGCACCGCCGTGGGAGCCTGGTCGCGGATCCCAGTGTCCGAGGCAGCGGACTCCACGGAAGGGTGCGTGACCATGGCGAGGTCGTTCATGATTCCCTGGGGGTGTTAAAGACAGTAGGAGCCAGCACGCAGCCCAAATAAATGGTGGCCGACTACGAATTTAGACAACAAGCCAATCATAGGGGAACAAAACGTGACATAAACATAAAAACTCGGAGGTCCGCGCGGATTTCTCGGATCGGCGCTGGGGCCCCCCGACGGCGCCTCCGGCGCCGCCCCTGGCGCGCTCCGCGCGCTCCGCTCCGTGCAGAACGGAGGAGGCTGAAGTGTGTACCCAGCATGGGTGGAGCACATGTGTTGACGTGTGAATTGCTCCGGCATGCACCTATCACGTCTTTTTCTTGACAAGGGATCTGGCCCAACATGCTAGGCCCTAGACCGGAGGGGTATAAAGCAGGGTGCGTTGTAATGGCTTGTGGATTCTTCGATGTGGAAGATACGTGCGCAAGGCCAAGTCGGAGATACCCTCCGTAGCCCATTCACTTGACGATGCCAACTACGTACCAGGCCAATTTGACATCCGTCTCCGCGCTTGCGGAAACGTGTGTCACATCGGTGTGGTTTTTGGCACATGTCGCCGAAACTTTTCATCATTACCAAAGTAACCAGATGCGCTGATGATGAAAATTGCCAGCTTCCCCACTGAGGCACAGAGAGGGAAAGGGGACCTCACCATGCGAAGCACCAGCCGCGAAGGAGCAGGGAAAGAGAACAGGGAAGCCGAGGAGGGAGAGTGGGCCACGCGGTCGCAAAAAAACGGCTGTCATGCGCGCGCTGTCTGCCAACACAAACACCGGCCACATGTTGGAGGGGAAGCGTGGAGAGGTACAGTCGGGGCGTTGACCTAAGGAACCCTAAATAAGGAACGAGGCCCCTTTTTTTCCACAAGTTGAACTTCGATTTCCCATCGAAAACATAAGGAAACCCTGAGGCAAGCTGTGAAACAATTAAGGAACACGGAGCCCCTCCCCAACGAAAAGGGTTCCTTGTCCAGCGCCCCGACTGTATCATGCGCGCGCTGTCTGCTAATATAAACACCGGCCACGTGGTGGAGGGGAAGCGTGGAGAGGCAGAGGAAAAGGGGAAAGCGACAAAGACGGTGTGTGTGCATTCCCCATGGTCCAAGAGCCCATGTATACAACAAGGACGATACAGCGACGATCAATGATCAACCGAACAGTACACGGTAAGATTGCACCCCATGCAAGTCGCAAGTGATAGAAAACTGCCCGATTTCTATCACGCAGGTCGGTGTCGTCCAAATGGTTAGCTCTGGTGTAGTCCTGAACAGGCGGCCAGAACGTCTGCGGATCAGGTAAGGCATCATCCTCACCCTCTTTACTATTGTAACTCCTTCTTTTGTGGATGCCATGACAATGGACACTCTAACAATCCTATCATTGAGCTAAAGATGTGTTTACAATGTGTAAATCATGCTGTAAGCATGTTTCAAACATGTTTTTACATAGATAAAATATGTTTGAATCATGTCTTAGACGTCTGGAAATTATTTGGCAACATGCTTCCTCTCCATTAACCGACTTCCACAATCCTCCTTCCTCCCCCTCTTCCCTCTTCCTCTTTCCCCACGCCTCCTGCTGCTCGTCGCTGTTCTCCTCCCCCATCCTTCTCTTCCTGCCCATTCCAAGTGTAACCATACCCCTCGTCAGGTATCCCCCTCCGCTTCCTGCTCCTCCACTCCCTCCCCCCCCTCATCGTCGCCCTCCTCCACCTCCTCGTCGCCCCCCTCCTCATCCTCCTCCCTGTCCAGTGCTGACCTCGATCCTGCTCTCCGCGTGGAATTTCGTCTTCGAGCCAGCATCGAAACGTGCGTTCAAACACCCCGTTGGAGGGGCACGTGCTGGGAGGCACACGACCTTCGTGACTCACCTAGTGGATCAAACGTAAACGTAGAAGGAATGCTAGGAGGAAGGACGAGGGTGGGAACATTATAAGGAACGTCAGAAGGAACGTTAGGAAGTGAAGCGTTACAAGGAACGTCAGAAGGAACGTTGGACATATATGGGCGATTAAGGGGGGAATGGAAAGAAGGTGAAGAGTTTGAGGAGGATGCTTCGTGTTGGGAAGGAGACGGGAAGAGGAAGAGAGGAGGACAAAAAGGAGGGGGGAGTGAGGAAGGGGGACGGGAAGGAAGGGGAGGACGTGGAGGAGACGGATGATGAGCGTCCTGGACATGCTGCTAGCGAAACACATGCACAAAGCAATACACCCTGGACTCATGATTTGTTCATTGCTGCGTGCGGTGCCACCGTAACTGTTAAGTAACCTGCATACCAGCGTACGTCAGTCAGACCACTTTTGCTGATACAGCAGTCGCGCAGCATGTATACAAGCTAGGTTCAACTTGATTCATATTTGACTGGACTATCTCCTCACTGGGTGATTTTTGACCACGATCCGAGTATATCCAGCCGCGGACACGAGGGCGCTCCAGGAAGTCCCAAACATTCCCCAAACATTCTCAAGTCTTCTGGCACGAATTCACGACTTATTTCTTCGTGCCGCCCCCGAGGCGAGAGGAGGGTCCAAGAGAGGTTCCGTACTAGCCTTCTCTGCAAACGCGCGCGCGCGCGCCCGTGAGTTCCGGGAAAAGCAGGAGAGGGCGGCCGGGGGAACGCAGTGGCCCAGGTCTTCGAAGAAGTCCAACAAAGGAAACTGTAGATCTGCACACCTGCTCGGCTGGAGTGGGGGACGGGAAGCGGGCGCGGGAACGGAGAAAGTGTACTGGGTGCCAGAGCAAGAGAGAGAGAGAGAGAGAGAAAAAAAAGAAAAAGAGAGAGAGAGAGAGAGAAAAAAAAAAAGATCTAGGGAGAGACTCATGAGGGAGAGGGAAGACGAGGCAGATAATGATAGAAGGTGGAGGAGGCAGGGGAGGAGGAAAACGGGGAGGAGGACGGACGGATGGACGGACGGACGGACGGACGGACGGACGGGAGGACGGACGCACGGGAGGAGGAGGAACAGGAGGAGGAGGAGGAGGAGGAGGAGGAGGAGCAGGATGAGGAGGAGGAGGAGGGAGGAGGAGGAGGAGAAGGAGGAGGAGGAGGAGGAGGAGGAGGAGGAGGAGGAGGGAGAGCGCGCCGGTGTCCGCCAAGGGCGGGGCCTCTGAAGCCAGCGCGGGCGGGCCTGAGCCCTCGGTGTGGCCAGAGCCGGCGCGGGGAGGTTAAGGAGGGGGTGCGTCAGGGAGAGCATGCGTGGCCCTCATAATGCGGTTAAGGAGGGGATGCGAAAACGATTAAAAACATAGTTTCCGGCTATTTCTGCATAATTTTCTGACTGGAGGAGAACGATAAAACAAATAGTTTTCCAACCCGCGGTCGGTTTTTCCTAATCGTCATCCCGGGCGCCGCCGCGTGAACACGACCCCCGGTCATTTATTAATCGTCATCCTCCATTACCCCCCGCGATTTCTGAGGGGGAGGGTGGGGTTCACTTCGCTCGGGAGCTCCCGAGCGAAGTGAGCCCCACCCTCCCCCCTCAGAAATCGTGGGGGGTAGGGGTGGGGTTCGCACGAGGCCCCCTATCTGAGGGGACCGAACTCTACACACCGACGCTTTTGCGGCCCTGCACCGAAATTGGCACAAGGAAGCGGATCCTGGCGCATACAAGAGCGTGGTGTATTTATTTTACGCTGTTTCCCCTGGGAAACGGAAAACAAATACACCACACCACCCCGACGTCGTCCCCGAAGCTCAAACAAAACCGCGACAGGTTATGTATATGTTCCACTTTCCGACCAGTGCACACGTCGCACTCTACCACAGAAGCGTAAGGTCGAACGCTGGACGCGTGGGTTTTGATGTCGACGGTTGTTGGCGGGAGTTGGGGGTCGAAAGCTGGAGACAATAAGTTGCGAGGTGGACGGTGGACGTCGGTAGAACTAGGAATGTCGGAATAGGAGGCCGCAGGGTGGAGGCTGGAAATCGGACGAACGAGGTTTGAGGTCGGCAGTTGCTGGTGGGAGTTGGACGTCGAAAACTGGAATTAGGGTGTTGGCAGATGCAGGGTGCAAGTTGGAACGCGAGATCTGGAGGTCGTGAAGTTGTGGCTGGAAATTGCCCGAGTGAGGTGCTGAGGTCCATTGCTGCTGGTGGGTGGGCTTTGGAAGTCGCGAATTGGAGACTGGAAGTGGAAAACGGAAGTCGGCGTGCGGGAAATGGGGGCCGCAAGGCGGAGGCTGGAAGCTAGATGCGTGCATTTGGAGGTGCGCTAGGTGGGCGTTGGAAGTCGAAATGCGGATACTGGAAGTTAGAAGGTGGAAACGTGGTGGTTCGTGGGAATCGGAATATCAGAACTGGAAATCGTAATGTGTAGAATGTGGCGGCCAGAAGTCGGATGCGTGAGGTTACAGGTTGACAGTTGCTGGCGCGGGCTGGAGGTCGAAAGCTGGAATCTGGGGGTCGACAGGCGGGAGGTGGAAGCTCGAGTGCAGGAGCTGGAGGTCTGGAGGTGGAGGCTGGCAGTCGGACGTGCCAGTTTTGAGGTCGACAACCGCTGGCGGGCTGGGGCTGGAAGCCGACCGGTGGAATGCTGGACTTCGGAAGGCGGAGGCTAGACGTCGAAGCGCTGAAGCTGGAGGTCGCAAGGTGGGGCTGGAGGCCGCAATTTGGGAGCTGGAAGTTGCGCAGGTGAGGCGCTGCGGCCAATTGCTGCAATGGCGGGTGCTGGAAGTCCAAAGCTGGAGGCCAGGGGCCGAAAGTGGGGGGGGATGACGGAATGTCCTGACGGCGTCGGTCGGGCTCCGAGAATAAACTGCTGCATGTAGCTCCGAAGACTTAGGAAACCGCCCTGCATGGTGCTCTACCACTGCTTGTTCCTGAACATCTCCACCAACTGTTTCTCGCACTCTTATGGTGTAACAGTTTCGAATAAAAAAAGGAAATGAGCGATATCTTCGTCCAGCGTTTTCCGTTGGCCACCGTGTCGTAGTTTCGTTGGTCGAGAGATGTGCTCGCGCTGGTCCCAAGTCGCACATCGTCTTGTCCACCTGTCGGGATGGTGGTTGGCAGCTCGTGCTGCGCAGCGCCACTTCCTTTTGGCGTATCTGTGAGCCCACCGTCGAACATGTTTGCGCTCTGCGAAAGCAAACGCAACGCACATACTCCTACATAGAACAAAAATCTGCCCCAAACTCCAAACCGTCATGGCTATGTTTTACGTTTTTCCCGTGTGGATCGGGGTTGGCGTTGTGGCGCTTGGCGCCGGTGTTGGCGATGCCGACATGGGGCGGTGTGCTTAGGTGCCTTTTTCCGACCCGCCTCCCCAGCACACCCACGATCAGCCGAAGCATCTTCCGCTGTGTCCGCTGTAGGGTGAGGAGCATGTCCTTGGTAACAGTCACGAACAGCACTCCTATATGACACGCGGCGTGGCTGTGCCGTCGGAAAGCCAGAGTCTGCTGTGCAGATCAAACGTCTCGTTCGCGAATTCATCCCGTAGCTGGTTGACCTTGGCCCACCCTGTGGTGATTCTATTGCGTAGCTCGTGGTCGTGGAAAATCGTGGAACGACAGCCTTCTATCAAAGTGCTTCGTGCTCTGGTCAATGGGCAAGATGTGCATGCGTGCGTCGCCCGAAATGTGCGGGATTGTTCTCACCATCCTCTGGGCGATTTGGGTCTTCCCTGGGTGTGGTAAAAATCCACCATGCCATTTTTTTTTTGTTCTCTCTCTATATCTCTCTCTCTCTCTTTCTCTCTCTTTTTTCGAGTATGCGATGTACACATGAACCGTCGAAGGTTCGGGGCGCGCAGAAAGACGTCGCCCGCGAAGCGTAGGTTGGTGATGATAGTCTCTTGGGCACAACTAAATTGAATGCCAAACTTCCCGCGGTGCCTACTGGGCTTGATTAGCCAGTGCATGTGTCCAAGGAGAACGTTGAACAATAATGAGCTGATGGGGGCCCCTTGCTTCACACACCGTTGTATGCAAAATCTGCGGCTGATGGTGCCAGTTCTGGCTCTGCCCGCTTGCCCGCTGCACAATTGCTGCAGGGAAATGACGTGCGCATCGGGGATGTGCTGCTGTCGCGCGGCCTCCCATAGCTTAGTGCGACTCACGCATTCGAAAGCTCTCCAGAAGCCGATTGTTGCTGCCCGCAGGGGCGGCTCCCACCGGCGCATTTGCTCGTGCAGAGCCGCCGCGGTGAACAGGTGGCCCTCTGTGCTGAGGCCAGGCCTGAAGCCAGCCTGGTCGAGGTTCTGTCGCGCACCCGATGCGTTCTCTAGAAAGGGGAGAGAAACGGAAAGAGGACCGCGAGAAAGAGGCCGGGGAAAAGGGAGGACTGCGCAACCTGAAGGAGTCAGTCGCGCGATGCGCCAACGGCCCCTGGAGGCGGTCCTGCGCGCATAGGCCCAGGCCCCGCGCTCGCTCGGCGCACGCCCCAAGGGCCCGCCCGAAAAACGGGATCACGGCGGGGGGCGCGCGCGAGCGCAGACGGAGAACACAGGGGGATTAGGCGATCTCACGAAGGAAAACTGCTCCCACGTGACGAGGTGAGATGGGTCTTCCAAAGGCTCGGGCCGTCAACCAAGTCCAACTTGTCGAAGGTCGCCTCGTCGGCTTCCACGTCGGCCCATACCTTCGGCCCACTGCAGTCAATGGTCGGCTCCGCGTCCTCCGCGTATATCCTCCGAGCCTGTTCGACGTTGATCCAAGTGCGCTCCACCGCCTTATGGTCGACGTCGAACGTGGCGTGGGTGTTCGCGTGGGAAGTCCCCGTGAGCTTCGCCAGTGGGACCGCGGCTTGGTTCTACGAGCTCTCGGACGTCGAGTGCTCGCTGAAGATTGGGTTCGCGCGTGCAGTGGGCGCGTGCTTCTGGCAGCCCTTCGCGCTGCAGCGGCGCAAGGAGCGATCGGCCTTGCGCGGGCGAGCTGCTAACTCATCGAGCTTGCCGCGCCCGCGGAAAGGACGGGGCGCCCCAGTCCAATCGACGATCAGCCTGTCCCCCAGCAAGATGTTCGCGATCTCCGCGTCAGACGCCGTCGAGAGCTCTGGGGCTGCGCGCTTCCACTCTGCCTGCTCGCGGCGCAAGCCCCTGCCGGGCGTCGCGTTCTTCTCTCTGACATGCAGCGCGTTCCTCCAGTCCTTGGTCTTGGTGGCAGATGGGCGCTTGGGCACCATCCGAATCTTGGCCTTCCCGACGTCCGTGAAGGACCTGATGGCCCGAACGCGCCGTCGTCCAGCGCCCCGTCGTCGCGCGCCCAGGCGCAGCTCTTCCCCCCTGGCTGGCCGCGCAAAATATCTAACCCCGTCGTGCTCTTCAGCGCGGCCGCGCGCTCGCCGCCGATCTTGCGCGCCCGCCGCCTAGCGAGGGCCAGGGCGACTGAGCGACCCGCGAAAGTCTCGCCGATCCCGAGCTCTCCAATCATCATGGGAGCATGCTTGCCCGTCGTCTCGGCCATGGGTTCTAGGGCGCCGATCAGGAAGGGGCGCTCGAAATAGCGCGGCGTGAAGGGGCAGAGAAGATGCTCTTGGCACAGCGCCGCCTCGTTTGCGATGCCACTCATGATCTCTTTCGCAAGCGACTCCTTCCATCCGAACGCGATGTTGTTCTCGTTGTCCAGCTCCATGGTGATCCACCGAAGGTGGTTTTTACGTTTTTACTCTGGATTCGACGGGCACGCCCCTCTTTGCAATCAAGCCCCTGGCCGTCTTCCGACTCATCCATGAA